ATATCAATCAGCCTCATGCCCTTTTGCATGCCTCTCCTTAGTGTTTTCCCAGTCCCCAGTTTCCTAACAGCTGTTCATTGATACACAGCTACTGAAATAAAGTAGCAAATCAGTAAACCAGATAGTGTAGGTTGCCTAAAAGGAGACTGGAAAATAATTTGCTGCAGTGGATAACAGCAATTCTATTATTGATTTTTGTAACATTTGACACTATTGTGGGGTTTCTCTGTTTAACACATGCTTGTGGTGATTTACACAAATTCAGCTTTAGTTGTAAGCAGATAAAGTGCTCACTCCCACCCCTCCACTCCTGCTGCAGAGGAAATGTAAGCAGCTCTCTGATTTCCTCAGCATTGTCGAGAGCTGAATGAACTTGCTCCGCACTGAGATAATGGTGCATGACTGCTGCTGTAGTTTCATTCCATTGCTTTTTGCTGCTTGGATGCTTGCTTGGCCTGAGTGCTCAAATCTGTAAATGCAAGCTCAGCCTTTCCAGCATATTGTGATGTGTGAGGGTATGAAACTTGGTCACAATTATTCCATTTCATGTAGGAACATTTCAATAGGTTTGCATCCCTCATGAACAATGCGATTAAATCCAGAGGGATAAGTTTCACCCCAATGAGTATTTCTGGAGCAAAAGATCAGTCCAAGGTCTATGCAACACCCAAGTTCCCATTTAAGCCTTAGCTTAAGTAAAAGTGGGATTTATGTGTTGTATAAGCCTTGTGTTGGCCCTCTGCACAGGGGTGGATTTCACCATTATAACCTAATCCTCAGAGGAGTATTCACAACTCCTATTGGTTTTGGTAAAGCATAATTTAATTTAATTACCTTTTAACCTGCCTTGTAAGCTTTATAAGCCACCTTCCCATTACTTATCTGCATCTGTCTCCTAATGCACGTTGTGCCTCTGCCCACAGCAGCCCTGCTAGCCTGGAGAAACTTTTTAGCATTTAGCAATGCAGCCATTGTCCTTTAGAGCACCTACAGCAGATGTTACAGAAACAAATTCGAGATTTCCAGTGCTGGGTAGAAGACTAAGGTGATGTCTCAGTCTTCAAAGAGATGGAAATGTAATTCTTGATGTAGCAGTGGTGCTCACAAATTGATCCAGTGAGGGCTTCAGAAGAGAAAAACACTTCACAACAATCTGTCACTAGCCACATCATCACCCAATGGGAAGTACCGACAAGGCTTCCTCCTTTCACCTCTTTGCCCTAGCCAATGTATCCCAAGCAGTAGAAGCTGACAACAGCTGAAATGGGTAGTCAAACCTGACACACCCAGAGCAGGACATTTTAAATGGTTCCAATGTGGTTGATGTTCACTATGTTTCAGATAAATCTTAACCAATGCAGGAGACTGGCCTGAACAAAGCTAGTGGCCCAGGGACCCAGGAAAAGCAACATCTCAATCATTTCCAAAGTAAGAGGGACAAGTAGAGACAAAGAAGGGAAGACAAGGAGAAAGAATGAAGCAGAAGGGCTGTGTCAGCATTGGTTGAAACTGGCTCTGTAATTCTCCCCTCTGCTCAGGAATCTCCCGATTCTTCTCCTTCCTGCTCTACCTGCTCATTTTTACATGTGACCTTTCCCCATACGCGTCTATGGAGCACACAGTGAGAACATAAAGTAACGCTTGAAAGCAGCTTTTTCTCCCCTCAGCAAAGGAGGCACAGGCTGTTCATCACTAGATTGCTGTGTTTCCTTACCGGCACTACGGGAACACTCTTCATACCACTTCCCCTTGAGTCACCAAGTCCCCCTCATGCCTCAGAGTAAAGGATACTCTGCTGCATGTTTACACATTGCTTGCGCAAATGGCTGAGTGTGGTTGTTTACCGAATGTAGGAGGACAGTTGTGTACTGGTGTACATTGTACAGCCCCTTAACAGTGTTTTTTTTTAAATAACTCGCATGACCCTGCTATAATAAAATATTTCTAAAAGCCCTGAATCACGACACAGAGTTAGTTACTGATAGCTTGTTTTCCTGTGTGTGTTTTGCTGAAGGAAGCACACTGGGGTGGTTGTGTCTGAATAGGAGGAATATATTTTATAAGCAGTGGTCCCCAAACTGTGGAGCGTGCTCCCCTAGGGTGATGTGGAGGAATATTCGGGGGGGGTGGGGGGGAAGGCATGCAGCTCTTCCCTCAACTCCATTTAGCCCCAAGTGCTGCTCCATCTCCAGACCCTCTCTGCCCCCAGACCAGCTCCACCCCCAGCCAGCCCTCATTCCATCTCTGCCCCCAGCCAGCTCCCTAGCCTCAGCTCCTCCCCGATCCCCAGTTCCACACCCAGCTCCTCCATCAGCCCAAGCTCAGCTGCCGAGGCAGCCTTGGCTGTGCAGTAATGGAGAGGGAGGCACAGACAGATTCTGTCACTGATAAGAGGAGGCATGACTGAAAAAGTTTGAGCACCACTGTTATACAGGAATGTCTCCAAGTGTCAGTGTTATGTTCATATGTACTTTGAATCACCTTTGCTGTCAGCTCCTAGCTCCTGTAAATACAGCCTGCCATCTTACATTTACACACAGCCTTTCATCCCAAAGGTCCTGAAGTGCTTGACAAACGAGGGGCCAGATCATCCCCTCCTGAAAAAACCCTCTGAGGACCGCTTCATGTCCTCCCCAGTTAAAGGAAGGATTGACACCATTGGAGGAATGGCAGACATGACCTGCTGACCACAAAGAGCCAAAATATCAGTGGGAAATGCTAGCCCCAACCAGGGGTAGCAAGTTGTATGGGCCCGTGGTGCCTGGGCTCCAGCAAATTCAGGGCCCGGGGGGCCTGGCTCCACCAACGTTTGGAGCCAGGTCTCTCCCCTGGCCTTGCCTGCCGCTCCTGCATACCTCCCCCGGAGTGTCCCCTGGTGTCACCTGCTGCCCCCACATGCCTCCCCCGAGCATCCCTGCCTGCCCTGGGCAGTGGGTGGCTGCCCCCTGCAGCTCTCCTCCCTTGCCGGCCGCTGCCACAGCCATCTACAAGGGAGTGGTGCTGTGGGCAGGCTGAGCTGGCTGCTGTGCCTGCGGAGAGAGGAGGGGAGGAGGTGCATGGCAGCCTGCCCTCTCCCCGCCCGCCCAGCTGATGACCGAGTTGACTCCAGGGGGCAGGGCTTATCCTGGCTGGACCTCCTGAGCAGCAGCCTGACGGGGCTTGAGTGAGTGTCCCCTGGAGCTTGCTGTTGCTGACAGGGAGAGGGCTGGCCTCTCTGGCCCCAAGCCCTGGGACAACCGGCATGCTGCACCCTGAACTCCTCATCCCCGGCCCAGCTCCGTGCCCCACACCACCTCCCACATCCCAATCCTCTGTCCTAGCCCAGAGCCTGCACCCAGCACCCAACCCCCCCGTCCCAACCCAGCACTCCAACCCCCCTGCACTCCCCATCCTGTGCCCCAACCCCCTGTCCCAGCCCAGAGCCTGCCAACATTCCAAACCCCCTCCCAGAGCCTTAGGCAGGTGTGTGTGTGGGGGGGGGGGCGGCGGATTTGAACCCATTCTGGGCACCACCAAAAATTATACAAACCTGCCACCTCTGGCCCCAACCTGATGGATCTCAGGGTATTTGTGCAGAGCAGCAGCTTTTCTGTGTTCCATGCCTACCCCCACCTCATCCCTGCAGCCTGGTTAGTGATCCACGCTGCATTAACTCCCCACCACAGCTGTATGCTACCCATTCCTCCGACAGAAGCAGTTCAAGCAAATCTTGAGCCCCGTGCAAACACATTAGCCTGGGCATGGGAGCTGCAAGGCCCAAGATTCAGTGTGTAACATTATCCAACCCTACCCCCTTCCTACTCAAACTTAATCTGACCTGCCAGCTTTGTCGGGAGGGGAGGGTAGCTTGTGACATGCGCCTACCAGAGTAGCAATAAAGGGGGAGAAATCACAATTCATCAGGGGCCTTAAGTTATCATCACTGCTGAGCTCTCAGTCAGCACAAAATAGCTTACACTCCCTATCACGCAGCAAAGGCAAACATCACATCACTGTTTCAACCTGCCCTTTAGGCAGGGACCTCTGTAGCTATAGGTTGACCAGCTTTGTCTGAATCAGTCCTGGTCCCTGCTGAACCACAGAAGATGCACACCAGGAATTAACGTAGCGACAAGCAACATTAACTTATGCATGGACTTCTGCAGCTAAATGAAGGCAGCTTTGCTGGAGACAATGCTCCCTGGTCCCTCCACCCTCCTCTTGCTTTTGGCAAGTGATACCCCAAAGATTTCTGAATATTGTAAAGGAAACACTGCTGTGGTGCTGGCTGCTCCTCAGGGGAAGGGAGGAAGCATGCCTTTTCCATCTGTGCTGCTTCCCTAACCCCGTGTAATCACAGTAACCTAGGTTTGATCTGCTACCCATTGCAGAACAGCCAGCAACATACAGCCATGTATTTTGGAATCATTTTATCCACCACTTAAGCACAGCCACCTCTACGACACAGCAGCTACTTAGTATCCCCACACACCACCACTGCACAGCCGGTTAGGGCAGGCAGGGAAGAAGAACAGTACCTCTTATGGAAACCAAAAAGGCGATTTAGGTTAGCAGAATGTGACAGTTCACATCAGAACCTGGCTGATACCCCAGAGCTAATCCCTGCTCTTTGGAACACTATCACACAATCTTTAATATTCACAAGTGGTTAGGACCTCAGTTTCACATATCTATTAAACTGGCACCTTCTAGCACCAAGCTGGGCCAATGGTTCAGTGCTTACTCAGATAAAAAGAGGCCACTTACTGAACCACCAACAGGACTGCTACAGATGCCAGTTTCTGACCTACACATGTGTATTACCCCGCCCTGACCCTACTTAGCTATAACACCTGGCCAGAGCACAGGCCAAGGACTCAAAGTTCATGCAGGAAACATTTTGTGAGCACTTGCTGTGTATGGTTCTGTTGTCTGTTTTTTTGAACACATTAGGTAACAGGATAATTAGCAACATACAGAAATCACCACTGATGAAAAGCTGCAGGAATTGCAAATCTTACCATGTCTTTAAAGGCCCCAAGTATGGCTGCCGTGACTATCCCAAGAAATAAGCCAATGATGTTCAGGACTGTGGAGGCCCACAGCAGCCGATACAAGTGAACCACATCCTGACAGCTGTTCACTCCAAGAAACTCGTAGTAGCTGGTTGACTGTTCTGAACTGCAATGGGATAGAAATGGTATCACCACTATATCAATGATTTACAGCGCACCAGCCCAGCTGAATCCTAAAATGTTTAATGGGGGTGGGGGAGGGGGCAAAATAGCTGAAACAAGAGCAAGTAGTCCAGCCTTGTCTGAATGAGGAAATTGTACACAAACATTCTCACAGGAGCTAACATGGCTCAGCTAAAACCCTGGGAGCTCTGGTCTAGATTCTCTGCAGCCTGACCTGTTTTTTTAAAATCCCTATGTCAAATTAAACTGGTTTAACAAAAAATAAAGCTACCAATGGCCATGCTAGGGGCCCCCCAGTGCTACTCCTCATTCAGCTGACTAGCATTAGCACATGTGGGGATTTGTTGGTACCATTTTCTAGGATAGCTATGGCACTAATAGGTGATGCTACATTTCTAATTTGCGAGCACTCTTAGTAATGTGTTTGAGAGCAGCTACCAGCTAAAACATGCCTAGCACAACCTCCTCCTCAGTTCACCTGTAAGCATTGCTTCAAAGATCCTTGTTGAATGTGCATGGTGCTTAAGAAGTGAATCCAACCATAGGGAAGGGAGATTTTACTAACTGGCTACATTTGCATATAGGGTCTGTGGTTTCAAACTGACAGAGGCAACACAATTCAGGACCTAATGGATATCATAAAGATGTTCCTTTAAATTGCAGATTGTACAATCTAGAAATAATATTTTTACATTCATACATAGCAACTGCTATTACAAATCAGGCAAATTATGACCCCAAATTTTGTTTGCTGCAGACTCTGTGTACTGTGTGGTATTTGGAGAAATCAAATCCCATGTTTTGAAATACCCTGCTATTCTATTGGCAAACACAACTGCCAAGTAGTAACACTTTCCCACTCACCCACTTCATAACAGCTACCTAAGCTGGAGAGAGTTTCTCCCTGTTTGCTCTAGGGATATGTGTGCTATGTCCAAAGCCCTTCCCCTCACCATGAACTCTTTTTAAGGGTGGAAGGGAAATTTCCATCAACATTTTGATGAAAGGCAGAGAAGAGTGCCCTGTGAAATTTTTGTTCTGAATTCCAGTCAGGCTCATGGAGTGCAGTTGGGGATGCTGGGTAGGGAAAATGCTAAGGAGAAAGAAGGCAGGGAGAAACCTAAAGTGGTCCTGTGCAGAGCCACGCCAGCCCTGAGTATTTTTATAAATATCAAACCTGTTGCTGCAGTGCATGGTTGTGGGAGCACAGCACCTGTTGCTGTGGTGCATGGTTGTGGCAGTACACCAGCTGTTGCTGTGGTCAGCCACACCCCATCGTAGACATCAATCATCTCAGCAGATAAAGCCAGTGGTCCCCCTAGCACTGGTCACATTCACAAAGGTACTTAGGCGCTCTGCTGCCTAATGGCATCCCTCGTCACTGGGTTAGAGAAAGATTGTCTCTATGGCCTGGTGGCTAGGGCACTCCCCTGGGGGTGGGAGGCTTAAATCCCTGCTTCAGTAAATATTTAATTGATTCTACAAAGTGGAGCAGTCCCAACAGGAGAGCCTGAGAGACCCGCTCCAGAATATCCAGCGCCCCAGCAGTCAGAGCACTCACCTGGGAGGTGAGAGTCCTGGGTTCCTGCTCTCAAGCAGGGATCTGACCTGAGATGTTCCACCTCCAGGTGAGTTTCTGAACCACCAGCCTATTGGGCGTTCTGGGACACCCCCCCCTGCACCCCCCACAGACTGGCCTCTGTGCAAAGCCCTAGCCCCTAGGCATCGTCTGAGCATTGGGACTAAAATGGCTTTGCACGTGCCTGCTGGCAGAAATGTAGGGGCTTTGGGGACTTTGGGATGAGATGGCAGCTGAGCCATGGCTTTGAGAATATCCGTGGTGCCTAAATGTTGAACACAAGTGCCTAAGCACCTTTGTGAATCTAGCCTTCACCTCTCTGTGCCTGTTTTCCCTCACACCTTGTACAATCTACACAGACAAAACCGCTAAAGCCTTTAGGGCAGAGATAGTCTCTCAGTCTATGTTTGTTCATTGATTAGCCAATGGGGCCTTGATCTTGGCTGGAGTCTCTCGGCGCTATCACCATATAAATACATAATAAAATCATATCCTGTCTTGGACAGTGACCAGTATCAGGTGCTTCAGAGGAAGATGCAAGAAGCCCCATAATGTACAGGCTCCATGGACTGCCTACAGGGGAGTTTCTTCCAAGCCTCTGTCAGTTAGCGGTTCATGCCAAGAAGCAAAAGGGTTAACCTTCAATCCCTTATATTTTTCACTCTATCCGATAACTTTGGATGTTCTATTTATCCATTTAAGGATCAGTTCTGTGTTGTACCCAGCTAAACTCTTGGAGTCAATGTTACCTTGCAGCAGTGAGATTCACCATTAATTATGTCTTGTTAAGAAAATATTCCCAGTTTCAATGTATCACTTTTCAATTCAGATGGATTTCCCTTTGTTCTTATACTATAAAAAAGGATAAACAGGAGGGTCTGCTTTACCTTTGCTATGCCATGCATTATTTTGTGCACCTCTATTGTTACCCTCTTATTTCTCGCCTCTCTAACCAAGCCAAACCACTTCCTGAAAACCCTACAACTGAAGTTAAATGTCAGTTATAAGCTAGGGACACATCAATTAGAAGTAACAGAGGAGGAAAAGGACCTTGGAATATTGGTTGATCATGGGATGACTATGAGGCGCCAATGTGATATGGCTGTGAAAAAAGCTAATGCAGTCTTGGGATGCATAAGGAGAGGTATTTCCAGTAGGGATAAGAAGGATTTAGTACCGTTATATAAGGCACTGGTGAGACCTCACGTGGAATACTGTGTGCAGTTCTGGTCTCCCATGTTTAAGAAGGATGAATTCAAACTGGAACAGGTACAGAGAAGGGCTACTAGGATGATCCGAGGAATGGAAAACTTGTCTTATGAAAGGAGACTCAGGGAGCTTGGCTTGTTTAGCCTAACTAAAAGAACGTTGAGGGGAGATATGATTGCTCTCTATAAATATATCAGAGGTATAAATACCGGAGAGGGAGAGGAATTATTTAAGCTCAGTACCAATGTGGACACAAGAACAAATGGATATAAACTGGCCACTAGGAAATTTAGACTAGAAATTAGATGAAGGTTTTTAACCATCAGAGGAGTGAAGTTTTGGAATAGCCTTCCAAGGGAAGCAATGGGGGCAAAAGATCTATCTGGCTTTAAAATTAAACTCGATAAGTTTATGGAGGAGATGGTATGATGGGATAACATGGTTTTGGTAATTAAATATTCATGGTAAATAGGCCCAATGGTCTGTGATGGGCTATTAGATGGGGTAAGATCCGAGTTACCCAGGAAAGAATTTTCTGTAGTATCTGGCTGATGAGGGCATATGCTCAGGGTTTAGCTGATCGCCATATTTGGGGTCGGGAAGGAATTTTCCTCCAGGGCGGATTGGAAGAGGCCCTGGAGGTTTTTCACCTTCCTCTGTAGCATGGGGCACGGGTCACTTGCTGGAGCATTCTCTGCTCCTTTAAGTCTTTAAACTACAATTTGAGGACTTCAATAGCACAGATATAGGTGTGAGGTTTTTTTGTAGGAGTGGTGCGTGAAATTCTGTGGCCTGTGTTGTGCAGGAGGTCAGACTAGATGATCATAATGGTCCCTTCTGACCTAAATATCTATGAATCTATGAATCTATAAATAAAACACACACACTAGGATGAGTGAATAAATTGCTTCCACAAAAATTACAAAAGTACAGATGGCACTAACCTGATCAGTAGCAGACATACCATGGCAGTTCGATTTAGCATCTCGTAGGCAAGGAAAGAAAAGCATTCATCCAGGCTTTGACTTTGTCAAATTGGTTCCATAAATCTGAACCCCAGAAACTCATCCATTGCTCTTGCATTCTGGGGAAACTCCTACCTCTCTCTAGTCCCAAACTTCACTTTAATCCTTCAGGGAAGTAAGGCTTGACAAAATGTTTTTTTGTTTTTTTGCAGAAGCAAAAGATACTTGTCCGTTTCTCTGCCAGTTTCACTGAAAACCTCCTTCTCCCAAACTTGTATGACTTTTGGAATTCCCGTATGTGGCAACCTAGGTTTGAAATGGGCTGGGTCATTCAGGGTTGCAGGCATGGGTAAAAACAAAAAATGCGAGCGCTGATGTGAGCCAGGAGGGTGGGGGGTTCAGGAGGTCAATCTAGGGTGTGTAACACTAAAATGTGAACTTGCACTTTCCTGCTGGTACACAGAGAGCACAAGAGCCAGCATCCCACCCCTCCCCACATTCCCTCCCCACCCCACCACAGGAGATTTTCCTGAAAGTTTCCTGCTCCTTACACAACATGCTCTCCTACTGCCATGGATGAGCAGTTTCGGATACTCCTTTCCTCCCATTCCCCGGGTTCCCAAGGTCCTGAGAATGACATGTTGTGACAGAACCAATGTCATTCTCCTAGCACTCTACTGACCCAGGCAGTTTTGGTTCCCAAAAAACCAACAGGAAAAAATGTAAGTGTGTTAGAAGCAGGAAACCTGCCCAACAATTGGTGGGGCCACTGGACAACTGAAGTGCTGAAGGAACACTCAAGGAAGACAAGGCCATTGCAGACAAGCTAAATGAATTCTCTGCATCGATCTTCACTGCAGAGGATGTGAGGGAGATTCCCACACCTGAACCATTCTTTTAGGTGACAAATCTGAGGAACTGTCCCAGATTTGGTGTCAACAGAGGAGATTTAGGAACAAATTGATAGATTTAACAGTAATATGTGTCATCAGAACCAGATGAGATTCACCCAGGAGTTCTGAAAGAACTAAGATGTGAAATTGCAGAACTAAGAAATTAGGTATATAACCTATCGCTGAAATCAGCTTCCATGTCAGGTGACTTGGAGAATAACTCACGTGACACCAATTTTTTAAAAAGGCTCCAGAAGCGATCCTGGCAATTACAGATCGTTAAGCCTAACTTTAGTACCAAGCACATTGGTTGAAACTATAGTAAAGAACACAATTATCAGAGACACAAATGAACATGACTTGTTGGGGAAGGTCAACATGGATTTTGTAAAGGGAAATCATGCCTCACCAGTCTATTAGAATTCTTTGTGGGGGTCAACAAACATGTGGACAAGGGAGATCCAGTGGATATAGTGTACTTGGACTTTCAGAAAGCCTTTGACAAGGTCTTTCACCAAGACTTTTAAGGAAAGTAAGTAGTCATGGGATAAGAGGGAAGGTCCTCTCATGGATCTGTATTTGGTTAAAAGAAAGGAAACAAAGGGGAGGAATAAATGGTCAGTTTTCAGAATGGAGAGAGGTAAATAGTGGTGTCCCCCAAGGATCTGTCCTGGGACCAGTGCTGTTCAACATATTCATAAGTGATCTGGAAAAAGGGATGAATGGTGAGCTGACAAAATTTGCAGATGATACAAAATTATTTAGGATAGTTACGTCCGAAGCAGACTGCAAGGAGTTACAAAGAGATCTCACAAAACTCAGTGACTGGCCAACAAAATGGCAGATTAAATTAAGTGTTGATAAATGCAGAATAATGCCTATTGGAAAACATAAACTGTTGCAAAATGATGGGATCTAAATTAGTTGTTACCTCTCAAGAAAGAGATCTTGGAGTCATTGTGGATAGTTCTCTGAAAACATCCACTCAATGTGCAGCGACAGTTCAAAAAACTAACAGAATGTTTGGAACCATTAGGAAAGGGATAGACAGTAAGAAAGTAAATATCATAATGCCATTAGATGACCCTTGTGGTCCTTCCTAACCCTCTGATTCTATACAAATTCATGGTACCCTGATACCTTAAATACTGCATGCAGTTCTAGTTATCCCATCTCAAAAAAGATACGTTAGAACTGGAAAAGGTATCGAGAAGGGCAACAAAAATGATGAAGGGTATGGAACAGCTTCCGTATGGACAACAGGGGATGGATCACTCAATAATTGCCATGTTCTGTTCGTTCCCTCTGAAGCGTCTGACATGGGCCACTGTCAGAAGATCAGATACTGGGCTAGATGGACCGTTGGTCTGACCCAGTATGGTTGTTCTTGTGTTTTATGTCAATGATGCTGCTTGCAATGGTACTGATGTACACATGTGCAATAAGGAAGGCACTGGGAAGGGACTTCAGTCTGGAAATAAATCTCGTGTTTATTTTGTTTGGCAATTGTGTTATCTGGCAGGTAGGGGAGGCCACGTCAGCCTGCTGCACCACGATTCTGAGCCCATCTGCGCTAGCCTCTCTCTAAGGGCCGATGTAGTCACCTACTGTTACTTGACTAGCATATTCAGGCACTTCCACTGTTATATCTTCTCAGCCTCTGTTTTGGTAAGATTGACTTAAAGTGGAAATCTTTAGGAAATAGGATCAACATTCTCCTTTATACCATACCTATCTTCATGGCCATTGAGTAAAATCCCTTGAGCACATAAATGCTTGTGAAAACACCAAGGCCCCGCCTATGATGTAAAGTTTTGACATGGAAATGATATTTCCTTTAATTTTGCTTCCCAGAGATCAGTGAACACATGAAAAATTTTGAAAATTGTAATGCAAGCTCCCCAAAGAATCTTTACAAGGTTGTGCTTTATTTATTTTGGTGGCCACATAACAAAATCATACGGACAATTTTTAAAGAAAACCTACTAAAATAATAAGAGCACTGAGGGGCAAACTATGTGAGCAGGGCCCCCAAAGACAGTTTATCCTACAAGTCTGTGGGGAGGGGAGAACAGGATCTGGGAAGTGCACACTCTGGTGCAGTACAGACCTCACCATAGGGAACTACTGTGCGGCTGAATGCCATATTTGTATTATGTGAATCCATTGGCCCATTTCCTCTCAGAATGGTGCTGCAGGCAGTGTGGGTGCTATTGCGGCTTTTGGCCATGCACTGGCTCTGCAGTTTGGGGCGTGGAGTATTCCTGTGCCTTCACACAGGGTTATCACCTGCTAGCCAGCTGTGTGCTGATTCCTGGGATACTGGCCTAAATGCAAAGGGTCTGTACTCTAGAATACACATACTGTACAAACAAACATAAACATTCTGATAGAGCAGATGTGTATTGCTTACATGTACTTACTTTTCACAATTGTACAGGTCACAGCAATAGCATGTATTGCTCTTTACTCTCAGCTGGCACTTGCTGTTTAAGGTGTAACACGTTACCTGGGAATAAGAGAAGGGACCATTCTTTAGTCTAAGTACTGTAGCTACAGGACCTGGCCACCATTTTGCAATTCATCCCACTGACCACATAGAAGTAACACATTTGGTTTACTCTCAGGTGCTTGTACTGGTACAAAAATTGTCATTCACCCAAAGGGGAGGAAGCAGGCAAAGAGGCCACAGTAGGACTACAGCATTATACAATAACTGATAAGTATCTAAACATTCCTTTTGGATTGGAAACTGGAGAGTAACTGTACAAATGACCTGATGCCAGAGTGTCTTCAGCATTCAAACACATATAACTCCAGAAAAAGTTCTTGCATTTTTGTTTAAAGCACCATAAAAATACTGAAAATATTTTCCCCCAGAAGTTATAAGGCTTTGCTGTCATGAACTTGTTTGATCAAATCTGTTCACCATTTTTATTTTTTGTAATCTAAACGTGATATCATGGGCCTGATTCTCATTTACACTAAGACCCCCTTCTGCTGCCAGAGATATGAATAATAATATTCTCTAGTAAATTATATTAAGTCTTTCTGTCTACCTATTAGAACCCTCTGCGTCTCCTGAAGTCTCACTCCTTTCCCCTTCAGTTTTTATTACACCAGAATAAAAAAAAATTAGAACAAAAAACAAAATATAATAGGAAAAAAGTCCAAGCAATTAAGCAAATGAGTACCATTTCCAGCAAGCTCTGGAATACATTTGAGAGACTATGGACTCTAGAGAACAGACATATAAATGCAGACATATGCAAGTCACCCTCTATTCAGACAAGAGATCATTTTAATGACCCTTACAATGTAATATGCATACATCATTTCTATTTGACATAGCAGGCTCATTGTAATATTTTATAGGCAAGTTTCTTTTTGCGGTCTTTAGCTTTATTAATAGAATTTCAAAATATTGGAACTGCTGTCAGTGTTAAACTGGCTAATGGTATGGAAAATACAATATTGCTACCTTCTTTCTTAAAGACCATTCAGAAAGGTTCTGTTTGTACCATGAAAAAAGCATTTACTAGTGAATGGAGCCTTTCTCCTCATGAAAGAGATGGTAGCAACATGCTTAGGAATAAATTGCTGCCTTTGAAAAGCACTTGTGAAATGACCTCTGTCACACATGCCCATCCAATAAGGTATTATTCCATGAGAGAATATGGTGACTCTGGAAGACATGAACAGCTCAAATTAAAAAAATCAGAGAAGATGGGGGAGGAAGAAAATGGAGGGGGCTTCACAAAGACTAAGGAGAGAACAAAGAAAGTCGGTGACAGAAACAGATGGAATTTGATGTTTTTCCCTCACAATAAATGCAAGAATATCTCTTAAATTGGTGCTAAGAGGAGGTCAAGGCACAACAGCCAAAACTTGAAAAAGGTTACTGAAGTGTGGTCACTGAAATGCAGATGTAGGACTTGATATGCAGAGCAAACACAAATGGTTTAGCACATGGTTTAGGATCTGATTCTACCACCCTAGCTCACATTAAGTAATATCTTACTCCTACTGAAACCAATGGATTTTGTGCAGGGCCCACAACTGATGAGGCTAGTGAAGAAAAGAAAAAGAAAAGCAGCGTGCCTTTGGCGTAGGCCAAGACACCATACAATGGATACAAGCTAACTGAGAGAACATCATAACATGATATAGGTCCCAGACTCAGCAAAGTACTTAAGCACATGCTTCACTTTAAGTATGAACCTACATCCCATTGAAGTCAATGAGTTTGCTCGATGAGTCCTGTCACAACCTGGCCTAGTCCCACTTTGCAAGGACTGGTTTGTGTGGACCCATCCACTGGATCTCACATGCTGCTAAGCCACCTGAGTCTGGAAAGAGCTTGGTCACTGTTCCCACCTCTGGGTCTCTGGGACCCACTCCCAGGGGCAGACTTCATGGCTGCTCCCCTTCTTTGGGATGTGGGGTCCCACAGACTGTCTGCCTTAGACCCTGAAGCCAACGCCTCAGCCCTCTTGAGCCCCCTGCTCCCACATTTGCTTATACATTCCCCCTCAGAGTTCCACCTTCCTGTGGGCACTTTGAGGGTTTCTGTGGGTTAACCCCTTCAGGAAAAATGTGGCAGGCAAGTATGGAATACAGGCTTAGCAAAGGAATTTCTTAACCACAGGACTTTACTCATAAGAAACCACTAGAGAATTAGAAATCTTTGCAAAATAATCGAAAGCCTGAGATCTGGTCAGCATTTCAGTTCATCATGCATCCGATGAAGTGAGCTGTAGCTCACGAAAGCTTATGCTCAAATAAATTGGTTAGTCTCTAAGGTGCCACAAGTACTCCTTTTCTTTTTGCGAATACAGACTAACACGGCTGTTCCTCTGAAACCTAGTAGTTGACAGACAATCAAAGGTTGATTGCTCTGTGCTAACTTAACTATCACACTCATTCAACCAGGTGTCAAGCCTCTTTGCTGGGTAAGATGTGTGTCTCGTATATATCACAATAACTCTGCCCTGGGCAAGGTATACATGTGTTCAGTCTGTAATACAAAATGGATGCTCTAATCCAAAGTGGAGGTTACACTATGAAATGAAGGTCACAATGAAGGTTACAATCCAAGATGGAAGCTGCAATGCATAAAGGAATTCACAATTTGATACAGCTATATCTTACTCCATCACAAGCCCACTGAGTTATGGTGTGTTTTGTTTACCTCTGTCTTTTTTACTTCAAGTCAATGGGACTTCAGTACGTGCATAAGTGCTTTCCTGAACTGAAGGCATAAATCACCAAGGGCCTGATTCTGCTACACTTCCTCACACTGAATAGTAACTTACTTTACGAGGAGACCCACTAGTTTCAGTAACTACTGCAGTCTAATCAAGTGCCACTATACTGCATGACATGTGGCAGCATCTTACATCTATCTGTAAACTAAAGTTTGTGCAGAACTTAGCCACTTGCTTGTTACAGAGGGCATCTACCTGGCACCACATGACATGAGTGCTTTTGGATGTGTGCTGGCTACCTATTGGCAACTAGGTAAAATTTAAGCTGCTGGTTGGTTTTATCCTATCATATATGTTTGTGTTGGCCTGGGACCTATGTATCTCAAAGACTACCTCTCTCCTTATGCCATGCTGCCAGAGTCGAGATCAGGAGGGACTCCAGAGTTGATGCCCCATTTGTACAAGAGAGTTGTGGTACCTGGGAGGCCACTCTCTGCAATCACCCCGTGGCTTTGGGACTCACTCTTGGTTTGAAATTGTCCTAGTTTGTCAACATTCAAGGCATGCTGCAAGGCCCTTACATTTGCCCTGTCTGAAAGAGTTTGGGTGTATATTAGAGGAAGATATCAGCTTCTGTGTTATGATATATGCTAATTATTGGATGAGACAGTTACAGGAGTTGTCTATTTTAAAACTGCATTTCTAAAATGTGCTTGGAGTGCCAAGAACAGGCATTCCTTTTTATGAGAGTAGTGAATAAATCCAAACAAATAAATACTCAATGTGAGCAAAAGGGACAGAATCAGGCATTAAATCATGTGCCACTTGTGGTTATTCTGCATGTCAAGTCCCATTCCTTCATTTCAGAGATTAGATTATTATCTTTTTCATGTTTTGCCTGGTTGTGCCTCTCCATGCCCTCAACACCAATTTAAGAGATGTTCTCACATCAGAGTAATTGCAAGAAAATCAAATTCCATCTGTTTCTGCCAAAGGAAGAAAATGAAACGAGAAAACTCCACCAGTTATGTATCACTTGCACGCTATCAATGGCTTTTCTAAGGAAACTTGTGCTCAGGAGAATTGCATCAAGCAAATAATCTGCCTTCTTGGTGAGAAATTTGCATGGAACATGGGTCATGCCAGCTGGTAACCAGTTGGCTAAAATAAAAAAAACAAAAGCTAAACTTGACAGCTGTGGATCAATATCTCTGGATTAGTGTACAGAAATCCAGATCAATTCAATTGGAAAAAACATGTCAGTGGACAACCAGACAAGAATTTATTACAAGGGCATTAAACTAAACATGCTATAAACCCATATTACTTTTTTTTGCCAGAAGAGGGCAAAGATCTCAAAGCTGGTCAAATTTATACATTCCTAGGAGCTCAAGACATTGGCTAATATCTCTGATGCTTTTTAGAATCAAGTGGTCTGCTCGAGAAAATCCACAGGGAAGCTTAATCAACTTCACTTTAGCAGAGAAATAGTTCTGTTTACTTGGTAGACATATCACTGGTATTTTTTATTTTGTGGGGAGAAGAGGGAATTAAAATTATGGGAAAAGATGCTGACACAGGTCCTATGTCTTATTTACATAGGTCAGCAAGAAGATCAGTAAAATATTCCTTTAATATATTTTCTTAAATAAACTACGGAATGCTCTGATTCCAACTGCATTACTCATTTACACTTGTAAAAGACTTGACTTGACTTGTCTAATATTATTAACAGTAACATTTCCCATAAGCTTATTCAGAGCTGTGGAAAGAACTGTGATTGTGGATATCTGGCTTCCTGTAAACCCTAGTACTGTGTCTATTTTCAGTTCTGCTCTGCTTTATTTCCTTCTTGCTACCACCAGTTTGGAATCCCACATTTGAGGGAAAAAACACAGAATGAATAGCAATACTAAGGAACATAGGTGGGAAAAAAACTAAGTCTAGATTTTTCAGGAGGCAATCTATTTGGGCACGGTTATTCTTCCTGCCATTTTAATATGGTTGAGATAATAAAGGGAAGCTGAATACAGAATATGGACATTCTTGGCTTATATTAGATGATTACAGTAGAGATTTGAAGTTTTCTGGCTAATGCAAATTTATTAATTTAGATATTTACTACAATAGTCCAGGCAGCAAAACCTCCTCAGAGGATTATGTAATAAAGATGGAATGGCTATATGTGATATAAATATTATAGTCAACTCAAAAAGATCTTCTGAGAAATAAATTATTGAGGGTGCTATTAGGGAAAAAAAAAGAACATTTGGGCTTCTAATGAACCCCTCAGAACATCACAAAGGAAATGAATGAGCTATGATATCGTTTTGTTTACCTCTGTCTGGTAGGCATCGTATAAGAATCCTATTCCACTTGAATAAAACTGACACCTTCTAGTGTACAAAGGTCTAGGGTCCTGCAAGGAGAAAAAATATTAATGAAAGTATCTAAGCCAGAAAAACTGTGCCATCATAATATCATCCCCCACTGCCAAAGGAACATGTTAGGTGACCAGTCAAAGTGCACTGCAATGCCGTCTGCTTTCCAATCTGTATTTGCTCAGAAATCTGTTGCAAAGGGTTACATTTCCCTTGCCTGCTCTACCTCTAGGCTGTGCACGGATAATTTATTTTTCTCTGACCCAATGGCCTCCTTTGACAGACCAGCATCTCAATCACTTAATACCTTTTTTTTCCTCCCTACTGCCTTCTTCCACCACAGAGGTCAGATGAATAACATACTCTTCTGAGAACAGTATGGCCACTATTTCCCCACGTATAAAATCTAATCCAATTAATTTTAGAATTAACAAAGTATTTGGTAGTTTATTTTAAAATACAATGCCTTACTTTTAAAGATTTTAAGAGTCTTTTGCCATAGAGAAAACAGAGAAAATAAAATAGGATCTTTAAATATACCACTCAATTTTTCATACTATGGGACCCCAAAGCGCTAACTCTTCTCATAAACTAACTAACTAACTAAATTGAAGAAAAGACAGTAGTGATATGAAGGAGAAAATCTAGAGCTGAGCTCATAATTCACAGTGAATAAATATTTGCCTCTTTTTCTGTTCATGAATATCTGCAAAATGATTGTGATTTTCTCAAATATATTCACTACACAAATTTACTACGTTTTCTTGATGCAAAAATCTCCTCAGTGATAACACAAAGGGAAAGCCTCAGAGGAATATCCACCGGCTGGCAGGGAGGGGCATGCTTTCAAGCAGCAAATAACCACTTGAAGGCTACTGATGTATGCCATTGCTAAATTCAGGACTATGAGTGGGATCCACAAAAGTACTAGGCACCTAAATCCCATTTTAGGCACCACTGCAAGCCACAAAACATCTGTTCAGCTGCCATCTAACCCTGTAGGTGCCTAAAGTCCCTCAGCACCTATGTTTTTGCAATACAAGTTCCCTACTGCCTATATTTCTGCCTCTGAGCATGTACTCTGTTGCCTTCCTCGAGGTGTCCAGGCACCCATCTCCTGCCTCTGACCCAGAGTGATACGCACATTGGGGAAGGTAGGTGTTTGGCCACCTAAATGGCACGTGGGGCCCACTCCGGTAGGTATGCTCAGAGGCTGCCTATCAGACTGGGCCCCTTGGTGAGTTCACACAATATAGCTCAGAGGAGGACAACTTCCCTTATAACCTGTAGCCCAATGGTTAGGGTACTCATGTGGGGATGTGGGAGAGCCCCAATTCAAGCCCCCCCGCCTGATGAGGAGAAATGAGTTGAACAGGGATCTGCTACCCCTCAGGTGAGTGCTGAGACCACTGGGATATAGAATCATTCGAACACTATCTCTGGCCTATTTAATTATATAATTGAAGTGGAACAGCTTCTACAGGAGAGATTGAGGAAGCCCCGCCTCTGACTATCCCATAGCCTAGTGGTTAGATCATTTACCTGCGAGCTGGCTGATTCCTGTTCAAATCCATCTTCTATTCATCAGGCAGAAGGGGTACTTGAGCCCGGGGTCTCCTACATCCCAGGTGAGTATCTGAACCACCAGGCTAAAGGTTTTCAGAGGGGGCCTCCTCCCCCTGCTTTGTGTAGAATTAGCAAGACTTTGAGCACACCTACTGGACTGGGCCCTGCACATGACTTAGGCAGCTGAATGCCTGACTTCCCCTGGTGTGGGACTCACAAGCAGAAATAAGTTCTTCCCTCCAGCCTGGACTGAGGTGCCAAACTCCAAGAGGGGTGCTCGCTGTTCAGGACACACCCCTCTTGTTGACATCTTTCATTGGATAGTTTAGGCAGCTCGTGCCTAGAGTGCTGCTGTGTGGATCCCATTCTAAGGCCCCTCTCTCTCCCCCCATTCATGGTATGGGGAGCCTCCGTGCCGAACTCAGGCTTTGTGGATCACAGCGTTGTTCCTGTGAGGTTTCTAGGCACCTAAAAGCTAGGCATTGTGACAATGAGTGTTGTAATCCCTAAATCCCTTTTGTGGATTCTGTGTGTGCAGGGGAGGGATTTATTGACTGCACAGATCTCTCTTACCAGTTGTATTTCACAAAGCAAAGCAGAGAGTGGGAGGAGTAGGTCTGAATGAAGCTGGCACACACAAAAAATTCCAGCATTTTGCCGTGCAGGTTTTTAAATATGTTGCTGAACCCTAGTCCAGACAACTGAAGAGCTCTGAGACAGCTTTATCACAGAGTGAAAAGCAACAGCACCTCAAGTAAAGGGGTGTGAACACCATTATCCACCAAAACCCTCTTTTCCTGCAAATGTACAGGCAAAGGCCTCGTAACCCATTAGAAGAAACTCAACCCTCCCTCACCTGTCCTTTACTGTAGCGGCTTTGGTTTCAAAACCTGTTGAAACCAGGTGTAAACTGGCAGCTGAAGCTAGGGCTGTGCTAGTTAAGATCTGCTCTCATTATTTTATAATGAACTGCATAAATCTATAAAACCCAACAAGGCAATCAGAGAAAATGCAGAGCCCTGCAGGAACCAGACAGGTAGATTAATACAGCTCATTCGTCATGTTACTTGCTTTGACCTTCTGATTACCCTGACAAACTAAAGTAATAGCTTGAAGACAACTGGCCTAAGGGTTGGGTGAAGCCTAACATTGCATCCAATAATATTTGTTTATACCACACAAGTAGAGAATGAATTGCTTCAATAACTCCTATTCTTTGGAGGAACAGGAAATACCAGAGTGATGGAAATAACATGTTGTTTCTAGCATTTGTAAAACTTGAAGGGTATTTTTCTACTCTGGGAAAACACTGGGCTTTAGCAGTAACTTCTTTCACTGCTTGGGGGTGGGGGGGGGGGGAGAGAGAGAGAGGACTAGTGAGCAGAGCTGAAAAGGAGCACAACACCAAGAGAAATGACGCTTGCTCCCAATATAGACATCGGCAACTTAATTAAAAATTGCCATTCATTATGTCCACAGCAGAAGCAAGCTTCATATGTGATAATGGAAGTGCTGGAGGTAATCTTTCTTTGTGCTAATATCCTGCACTGTCAGAAGGCTTCCAAGAGATGCTCAGTGCTAATGTTGTCAAACATAGCTGATCTTACATATTTTTAGAGGAAGTGAGAGAATTCCCCCTTTTCCAGCACCAAACATAGGAAGAGGCCTCTGACTCTATTCTCCCAGGTCACATGATGTTCCTACCCTTTACGTCTCTTTCCTATTTAACAACAAACAAATTATTGCTAATCTCCTCCCTATTGCTTTGGCCATGGAGGGGGCACTTGATGTGACCACACTGCTTGGTTGTGCCGGTGAGGAGCAGAAGGGGGGTGATTAACCAAACTGTTCAAAATAATCATTGTTTTACTGGAATGTTGTGTGGGGGAAACTATTAGGCCTTTGACTTGTAGTGGCCACTGTAAGTACAATTAATTCATTTGGTGCAACAGTATGGTAACCCCATATGTTTTTGTATGCAGCTAATTTTGAAAATGAAGTCATCTGAATATAGAGGGCAAATTTTCTGATCACAATCAATGCCTCTCAATGTGTACATTAGCCTAAATTTAGTTGCTGAACTACATTTTTATTTGGGTGATGGGTTCAGATTTAACAGCTCAATGACCCACAACGATACTAAAGATTATTTAATATTTAATTTATTCAGATACCCAAATAAATCAATAAACCAGGGATGCAGTCATCAAGGTTTGATTGCGCAGTATATTAAGGCTGCTGAAAAGTAAAATCAATAAGAACCATGATTTAACTTTTTTTTTCTTTTACTTGCTCATATACAATGCGGTCTGCCTGAAGATTAAGAGGCACATAGAATATAACCACAGAGACATTAAAAAGTGTTTAAAAATTATCCTACAGTATGTCATACTTTATTAACGCTTAAATGATTTCATTACTCCATGTAATGACAAAGGAAAATGAACCATGTTTTAAAGCCGTGAAAGTATTCCTGCTGGACTGCTCATAAAATGCTGTCTGACTTCTTTATATTGCTATCTGCAGACTGCATATGCATATGAGATAACTACCACTCCTTGACACTAATATGTATAGCAACACTTGCAGAAATACAGTATGTGTACTCTTATACTCTAATACGTATTATTTAACCTATTAACATTAACTCTAATATTTCCCACCAAGAATATCCTGTTGTTGCATGCCCAAATAGTACTGAAGACAAATTAAAGAGGTTCTATTAAAATCACCTTAAAACAGACTGATGTCATTTTTAGTGTGTGCACATTATAGACACGCAGTAAAAATGCCATTGACATATTATAAAAAGACATTCTTTAATTTACCCACAGAGAGATGAAGAGATGGCTAGGGCAGCTAGATGCTATGGTGATACAAATAACAACATGTATATTTAGCATGAGCTAAGAACTACTCTTTTCCAGTCCTCTGGAGTACTGGGGAAAATGACAATTTTTCTTAAAAATGAATTCATTGTGGCACATAACTAAATTGCTAGACAAAATTCAGCTTCATTTTGTAAGTAAATCAGGGTTTCACCTGTGCACTCCTCAGCAGGTCTATGACTAGTGGTGCTTTCCAGTCTTCCCACTCTGAACCATCTCCTGTTAAAAGGGCATTACCCCAACAATGTTGTTTGCTGTTTGAAAAGCAGCGGGAAGGGAAAGAATAGCACTGTGTGTGTACCCTATTACATGATCCTGCAAAGATGGAATGACGCAGTTCGCCATGGGGCCTGATCCTGCAAGGTGCTGAGCGTATTTACATTCCCGCTGATATTATTTTCAACACAGGGCACTCAGAGTGAAATCCTTGCCCCAGGGAAGTCAAGAGGAGTTTTGTCACTGAGCTCAGTGGGACGAGATTTTGCCTTAGCACTTTACAAGATGAGGCAGCTGAAAAGCACCTGTGAACTTCTGGGGTTTCACTGGCCTGGATCCTGCAGGGACCTCTTAGGATTTACATTTTA